CTGCTGAAACCTGCTTTGTACAACATTCATCCTTTGGGTATGACACTAAGTGCTTTGTACACTTATCCATCAGAGGGTGTCTGAATGTTTCAATGAGGCTTTTTTATACAAGGATAAAAAGAAACAGTCCTAACTCTGAAATATGCTTACTTGTTACATTTGTTTTAATGGAAAGTAGCCCAGGTATTTATTTCTGGCAACCCATTACAAATAATGTGTTTTAATAGAGGACATGATGGAAAATAATCTCAGGCAACTGGGAAATGTAAAAAACAAAACAAAACAAAACCCAAAAGACACCGATGAACAGATGAGTAAAGTTGGCATTTAGAATACAACCTGATTTCATTTCTAATTTTTTATGTATTTGTACTTGATTTGCTTTTATGTGTTGCTGTAAATGTACTGCCTTCCCTTGCCAGATGTGTCTGTTTAAATCCAGTAGCAGCTACAGAGCCTAGCATATGGCTGTTATGCACAGCTACTGAATGAATATATCAGTATCAATTTAGTGTCCTAGTTCCTTGTCCCAATTACATCCCATAGTCCCAGACATGCTGAAACGTGACATTTTACTGCCGAATTATAAACAGGAAATGTAGAATTCGGAGCCTGCAGACATAATAGTTTCTGTGGTTAGTGCAACAGAGAGCCACTGTTGTTCGAACAGCAGACTTTTATTTGATCTAAGGTTGATTTAATGGTGGAATTTTCTGGTGACCTGTAATATCCGGCACTAGCTTAGATGAAACCATTTGTTGACATGACTTCAGAATCTTTATTGTGCTCTGGTCTAGGTTAAACATTTACTCTCAAATGTTACAATAGCCTGAGGAAAAATTAATGATAATGTCACACTAACATTACATCGACACTGCCACGCATTAAACTCTGAACCAGAAAAGAAACAAAACTAAAATTCAATGCAAACTAGCAGCGTGGGGTGGTTAGCCAACGAGCTGCTTCCTGGCCTCCTGGATGATGTCAGCGCAACAGGAAGGGTCACAAAGAACCAACACCCAGACAGACAAACGCAGAGAAAGAGAAACTGATGTCAAGAGACAGGCAAAGAGTGAGAAGCTGATAATGAGAGAGGAAAGGGCAACGAGGGCAAGAGAGCAGAAAAATAAAGGGATGAAGATGACAGATTTGAAACATGATTGACAGAGAGAGAGAGAAACAGTAGTAGAGAAAATATAACGAGTGAAGGTGATGACAGGGGAAGCATTAGTGGAAAGAAAGTGAAAGGTGAGGGAGAAGAGTTTTGCTTGCAACCAGGGGTCCGTTCTTCGTACCTCGCTTACTACATCCAAGATCAAATCATCGCGCCAACTTTGAGCTCGCTATTCCGGTTCTCCGAACACACCTGTTGTTGACGATTAGTATAGCTGGATGAAGTAATGTGAGATCACTGGGTGGCATAACAGGGGCTACGCATCGATAGTAGAAACATTGATCGGCAACCCTTTGATTGGTCGGCGAAAATGTCGAAGGAGCGCGCTTAGTATTTTTCGGCAGCAGAGCAAGAACTCTTGATTGAGGGATTTCAGGAGTTTCAGAGTTTAATTAAAACGCAAGGGAACACTGCAAAGGCTGCAAAAGCAAGGAGAGAGGGCTGGCAGAAAGTTGCTGACAAATCAAACTCGTAAGTAATTTAATAATTACTTAATTTATAATGGATTGGATTTATATAGCGCTTTTCAAGGTACCCAAAGCGCTTTACAATGCCACTATTCATTCACTCTCACATTCACACACTGGTGGAGGCAGCTAC